TTTATTTATGTTTACACACATACACACACACACACACACACTCACACACACATACACACACGCACCAACACTCTCTCACACACACACTCTCTCTCACACACACAAACACACACTCAAACACACACACACACTAACAAACATAAGCACAAGCAATCATCCAACACAAACATAGACACCAGCGGCTGTACAAAGTAAGACTAACTTAGTAAGACTATCTCAGTCCAGAAGTCTTTAAGGGAGTTACTGAGGCTCAGATGGGCAGATCAGGTCACCACCGAGGAAATACATGTATTAAAAAGAACGAGAAAGAGCCCAGTCAGAGATGAGTAGGGAAGAAGGCGTTGGCGATGGATTGGACACATAATCAGGAAGTCAAGTAGCTGCATAACAAGAAAAATGTTAGATTGGAACACACAGGGTAAATGATCAAGGGGAAGACCATGTGGAACCTGGAGAAGAGTCACGGGAATGGATGTACAGAAAAGTGAGAAGACACGGAATGACATCAAGCGACTAGCCCAGGATAGAGAAAGGTAGAAAGTGTTTGTTCGTGGCCTACTTCCTGATCCAGGGTGAGAAAGTGTTTATTCGTGGCCTTTACGCTGATCCAGGATGAAAAAGGCAAGGATGATCTCAGTCCAGACAGCAGGACGATCTTCAGGCGACTCATCGTCCCTTGATCATCAATGATCTATTTATAAAGGCACCAGCCATCCATGTCCAGGTGCTGTTTTAGCCACTCACCCGGCCCATAATACTTGACGATGACGGGGTAGGAGCCGACTCCTGGTTCTATCAGGACGAGAGCATCGGTTATGTCAACGCCTCCCACTGACGTTTTGTAGCGGTACATGGTCACAGGATACTCGATGCCAAACGTCAGGGTGTGGAGGAACTTGGCATCAGCTGGTTGGACAAGAGAAAAAAATGTTCGGAAGCGTGGTGAAATCATGCGCTCGTCAAAACAGTGAAATCAACGAAACCCGCATTTTTCTGGGCGTTGGGCTATTTTTTTTCTCTAGATACCTTTTATTTCCTTTCCAAAACATTTCTGAGTGGATGTTACTGAAAAACGTTCATTTAAGGCACCAAAAATAAAAATGTCCAGTTTCTAAGGACTCTCAAACTATGGAAGTCACCAAACTTTGGCGCTAATTTTACATTTCAGATCTGCCTACCACCACCTCATTCAATAGCAAATATCACGGCTTTTATTAAAGATACATGAGTATTTTTTCGCCAACTGCAATATAAATGAAAGAGCTTTTTGTTGATATTAATAACTCTATATGCCCCAAAAAGTGACGCCTGATTCCAAGAAGAAGAAGAAGAAGAAGAAGAAGAAGAAGAAGAAGAAGAAGAAGAAGAAGAAGAAGAAGAAGAAGAAGAAGAAGAAGAAGAAGAAGAAGAAGAAGAAGAAGAAGAAGAAGAAGAAGAAGAAGAAGAAGAAGAAGAAGATTACCTGTTAGACACTTCGAGAACTTTTCTGTTGGTAGCGACTTGCGAACTGTGCAGCCACCCGCAGAAGGAATGACGTATGTCTTCGACTGTTAAATATCAAAGAGAGAAAAATACAACATAGATTTTTTAAAATCCTCTAGGTGTTTTTAAGCTCGCAATGACATAATTTAAATAATTTAAGGACCAACCTAGGCTGAGAGGGATGCAACGTCCCAGGAGAATGACCATGGTGAAACTGGATAAATATTTTCTCCACATGGAAATCAATCTGATGTATCTTGCATGCGACTGCAAAGCGCATGATTGCTACATGTTTTATTACCCATGCATCTGAGATTATTTCTAGTCAACCTTCATGAGACTAACGTACTAGATGGAAGAAAATAAATATGAGCAGACTAATAAAAATATTACAAGGAAAAAAAGGGGCACTAACTGATAAATTGGTAGTGGGTATTCTATGTTCTTGTTAAAAAAAATAAAGAAAAAGCGATTCAATTCGTTTCTTTTTGTTTTGTTTTGGTAAGTGTTTTACAGTGCTCTTAACTGCATTAGGTAAAATGAGCGCGCGGAACATATTAAACATTATCATTTTGGTAGGAATCCATTTTGAATTTTTCGTCGCTGCCAGGTTTTGAACCCGGGACCTATTGAATGAGAGGCGAACTTCGTAACTCCTAGACCACGAGAGCCCCCTTACATTCGTTTTAATCATTAGTTATTTTATTAATATAATACTAGCTGGGCCCACTTTCGATAAAAGGAATGATCAGTGCATTAACATCAACTGAAAGTCATCTACTATATTTACACTCTACTGGAATTGAGCGATAGATAGATAGATAGATAGACAGACAGATAGATAGATAGATAGATAGATAGATAGATAGATAGATAGATAGATAGATAGAGGAATACCCCTACCGCTTTAATGTCGACAACTTTTCTGCCTCCAGTTGAAGGAAGAACGGCTACTTTTTGGGCAGTGAAGTCTGCCACCAACGTGTCCTTGTCCTGTGGAGACAAACGTTTGTCAGAAATCATACATCAGTGCAAATAAGGGCTATATGAGACAAGAAATGACGATCACACATTAGCACTTTCCAAGAATTCATAAGCTATGGAAATCACCAAACATTGGAGCTATTTTCTCGCTAATTTTAACCTCTGAAAACAGGTGACCTCACCTCTTTCAATCGCAAATATCTCGACTTCTATTCAAGATAAATGAATATTTTTTAGTCGAAAGTAAGTCACATGAACAGCCTTTAAGATGATGCCAATAACTGCACATGGCCAGAAACTGAGAAGCGCCTGATTCCACCGCGTCGTGACACAAATACTCACACCACTAAAAGCGAAGCGTTCTTTCACTGTGAGTAGGTCTGTCTTACAGACAGTGGTGGGATCTGGGGCGTCTCCCAACACCACGCGGGCAATGACCGCCAAGAGTGCAATAGCTACTTTCATGTTGATATCTGCAGAAAGAAATAATTATAAGATAAGATAACATACATCTTTTTGTCCAGATCCTGGCACATTGGTTTGGTGTTTTTCTCCACGTACACACACACACACACACACACACACACACACACACACACACACACACACACACACTCACGCACACAAACACAAACACACACAGAAACACAGAAACACAAACACAAACACAACAACAACAACAACAACAACAACCCAAAACAATAAACGCACAAACAATTTGATACCTCGATTCTCAAGCTGAAATGGGGTTAGAAAACACAGTGGACACCAAATCAGCATAGGAATTCAGATATACAGGGTGATCCAAAAAATCCCGAAAAACAACAACAACAACTGTACAACTTGTTTTGTAAATATCTTCCTCCATACAGGAGCTTTCCGTTTCAGATTTGAACATAACTTTTAGAAGCCTAACGAATTTGTCCGATATCAATTTCAGATAGGTCCGCTAAATGGTTTTGGTCTATATAGCGCATTTTAAAACCCATTTTCAACCTTGTCACCATTTTCATAGCACGACGCATCAGTTCGCATTAAGTCTACTACTAAAAGTTGCAAAAAACGGGCTATATATCAAGCTACAGCAGCCTAACAAGTCAACAGAAGTCTGCAGATATTATTTTACCCTAATTTCGTTTCTCTGCTGAGATCATGGTAAAGTTTAGTAAAGAGCAGAGAGCTTTTTGTATTGAACATTACTTCTCCACAAACTCACCATCCTTGACATTTCGTAAGTTCTTGGCGCGGCATGAAGAGAATGCTGAGGTGTCCTCAAGACCCTTTGTGTAATGAGTAGAGAAGTTCCGTCAGTTTGGATCTATAGCGAATCAGAACTTAAATTTCCAAAAAATGACTGCTTCATGTCGAACACGCACTATACACAGCCAGGTAAACGTCACCAGGGTGCAGATTTCAGCAGTCAAGTCCCATGAGACCCCTCTCCGTAGATGATTTGCAGCTAGGACTTTCCTACACCTCAACAGTCTGCATTCTCATGGCAGATCTTAACCTACGACTGTACCATTTTCGTCTTCGTAAGGCCGAGATGACATGTATCAGAGCATAGCAATGTGCTCATGATTCCTCGATTGTTTGAAAGGTGGGTTTATGTTCACCCTTCGGAAAATGTTAAATCTAAAAATGCCGTCTATTCTGCACTCCACTTCTATTGTCTCTTGAAGCCACTTCATACTGAATATTTACAGTGTATGTGGCTTTAAACACTAATGGTTTATCCGGTCCTTGTGTTTGGGCGCTGTAGAACATATCGAATGACGCGTTAAAAATGTGTCCAGTCCAAAGGAGGGCATGTATAGCACTTTTTCTAGGAATTTCAGAATGAATTAGTCGTTAGTTTTTTTTAATTCTGTAAAAGAAATTAAAAATTATTTAATGTCATAGGGATGGAAAATTAAATGTCAAAGAGAAAATAAAGAAAAAAGCCAACCAATCTTTTCACGACTTCCTTTATAAGATCTTAATAAATTGGTGAACTTTGCGTTTTTTTGGCTGCTTTTTTCTTTAAGCCATTTCCGTTTCCAAAACAAGTTTCTGTTTCGTGGATTTTGTATCAAACAAATTTTTTTTGAATAAATTATGTCTGGTCCAAATTACAGCTTTCTAGAACAATTTTTGTGTGAGATATTCAGAATTTTTAAAAATTTGATCACTCTGTATGTTATGTCTCTTTGTAAATACCTATTTAGTTGTAGATTTCTAGTAAATACGTTTTTTTCACAAGACATAGAGGAAAACAGTCGATGTCCTCAACATGACATTGGAGACCTGTAATGTGTAGATAATTAAGGTTAACTTGTCAAAACGTGACAGGAAGAGATAAATACAAGGATTGGGCCTTTCGTCGGAGCCACAATCACCGTAAAGAGGGATTACTAGAGACCAAATAGATAAATCAGATTCCTTTTGTTTTTTAACTACACACTAAGTATATCAATGAAGTCTTCACGTCACCAAAATGTATTCACGTCTTAATCGTATTTTGAAATATGTAAATTTCAAATTCACCATATGTGAAGCGTGCTGACAAAATAAGTTACTTCTCGTCTGAACCAAAAGGATACATAACTCTTATAGGTGAGGTTTCTACAATTTATAAGTATGACACAATAAAAGACAGGTTATTGTTAAAGAATATGGCATCAATCGAAAATCTACAAATTTGACCCCTATGTCGATTTTTGGCCAATATCTCCATTTGTGGATTGTGGGAAGTAACTCATTTTGTCAGCACACCTTACATATCATGCACTCGACAAATACGCTATCTACTCTCTATATCTTACAACACATTCATGAATTATAATTACAAACAACTGTTCTTTTGAATAGTAGGCCTACATGTTTTGGTTCTTTTGACAAAAGAAGGAACATTAATAGAACTGCAAGTGATGTGCCATATAAAATCTTACCTCTGGAGTAATAATAGTATAAAGGAAGGTTTCTTTGCAAAAGATTAACGCAGCTTTTGTTCCATTAGACGATGTATTTATGGGGAAGGGTGTTTGTTTTTTATGGATCTAAAAAAACAACGTTTAAGATATAACAAGCATCTGCGAAAAGAAATGGAACTTAAGTCTGTCAGTTTGACTAGCATAAAAATCTGGTAATATTTTCAGTTGTTCATATATAAACCCCTAAAATTTGTTACATGTTATGCCGAAACACGATGACCAGGCGAAAGTTTGTTTAAGTTATCTGTATTTTTTAAATTGAGGTTAAGAAATTAACCCGTTTTGAATGAAAACATAAACGACAGAATATGCTCGAGAAAAAAGCCTGTTTTTAATTGAAGTGATAAGACGTTTTCGAAGCATAATGTCAATGTAATTTTGTTAACTTTTTATCTCCCTAACCTCTCACGGCTATGTCCGACAGTCTGGTGTCCTCGTGGTTCATATGGTCGTTTTTAAGGACAGGCGGGCTAACTCAGATTTCGGGGGTTTCTTGACCTACACCAAAGCGAACATTGCCCTACCTGTAGGAGAAGTTTGGTTTCATTGGTGTGGATGTTTTGTTGGTTATAGAGAAAACTCTCCTTGACCTTCAAAGAAACTGAACCAGGGACAAAAACTTTACCTTCGATTTTCTCAAAACCGCATTTTTCGGGATAGCCCCCTTGTGCTTAAAAGTGACAATATCTATATCTAAAGCTCTTCTCGACTAGGTGTGCACCAACATGTTCACTTTAGAAAGTGTAGCATTCATGTCGGATGGGACCGTTTTTGTTGCTGGTTTTGTTTTTAAGGGGAATGGGGGTTATCATTGTTTTGTTTTTTTAACATTCCCTTCTGAGTTCCCAACTGGAGTTGGTTTCAGACATGGGTTACCTTTCTACATAGATGCAGTTATGAACTGCTGGATTTGAATAAGTGAAGCATTTTTTGTTTTCGCAGAGAGGCGAAGTCTCGCAGCTGCTGTATTACGTTTTAAATTCTACAGAGTGTATCAAATGAGAAAGAGAGTGTGCAAGGGGAAAAAAACAACAAAAAACCCCAACAACAAACAAACAACAAAACAACATAACAAACAAACACACAAACAAAAACAAACAAACAAAAAAACCCCAAAAAACAAAACTAACAGAAAAAAACAAACAAACAACAACAACGAAATTTATCAGACGAGGAAGACAAGGTAAAATGAACAAATGGGCTGCCACCACTTGGAGAACGAGCGACGCTTCTGTTGCAAGCTCATGTTCACGTCCTTTGTTAATGACAGGCAGGGAAGACAGTGACTGGTCACCTCACGAGCGATTTGTGACTGAGTTGGGGGCAATGCTTTGATCGGACAATGGAGGGACTAACAGAAACGACAGGTGGATGGATTATAACGGCTTGTTTACAGCGTCAGGCGTCAATTCATAAATATGAAAAAGCCTAGGGCAAAGAAAGATTTGCATGGCCTCTCTTTGACCGGTTCTTTAGTTTTTGGGAGATAACATAGTTTTGAGGCCACGTTGGACACGTGACTGTTTTACACAATAAAATTATATCTAAGAAAAACGCAAGAGGGGAAATGGAAAGGGGCCATTAGTACAGGTGGCCGTATTATACAGGTGGGCATCATGGCAGGTTCAACTGTATATTATACATAATTATGCTTCCCAGGTAGTTATATATATACATATATATAATATAATACATTATATATATATAAAATATATATATATATATATGTATGTATATATATATATATATATATATATATATATATATATATATATATATATATATATATATATATATATATATATATATATAATATGGGGGAGGGGGCTCTCGTGGCCTATAGGTGATGGTGTTTCAATCTCATTCAAAGGCCCCAGGTTTGAATCCATGGAGCGACGGAAGAATGCTGTCGTTTGCTTTCGTCTCCACTTTCTGCCCCAACTCCTCACCGCCTTTGCCCCCTCCCCTGTGTTCCTGACTCTCTCTGCAGCCTTTCTACTGCAACTCCTTACTCTTCTTACTGATGCCTCTCAGTCACACCCCTGATCTTCTGGTAAGAAAGATCTT